GAACCGCGAATCAGACGATCTCTCTGTTTTTTGCGGTCCGACCGAACCACAATTCAGGGTATTCTCACATTCCGACTTTTTCTATAAAGCTCTGGACGTGATTACAGTCAGATTCATCCAGGTCTGGCCGACATTGCATCCAGATGCATTTTGGAGAGTACTACAAGTGTGAGAGCATGCCCTCAGACTTTACACTATTCTTTGCCAAAAGTCTGACCTCGATGAATCTGACTGTAATCACGTCCAGAGCTTTGTAGAAGAATTCGCACTGTGGAAAAAAACAAAGAAAAAGTGTCCGACTGTGAGTATGCCCGGATTCGCGGTCCAGTTGGAGCACATAACACGAAGTCAATTTTTTTTTAAATGATTTTTTTCCTAATCATTTCGAAAGTCAAATCTTCTTGTTTGTTTGCGGTCGTGACTTTCGTTTCACTCTCAGGGCATGCTCACACCAGGACTTACTTTTTCACTTAAGATTTATGGACGTGATCGCGGTCAGATGCATCCACCTCTGACCGTAATTGCTGTCCGATGCGTTTTGGAAAGCGCTACGGTCTTCACCCGAATAGAACGCCCGGTCATTAGAGCCGTATCTGGTGCAACTTTCCGTCCACATACCGCTATAATGACCGGGCGTTCTATTGGGGCGAAGACGGTTACCGTAGTGTGAGTACGCCCTCAAAATATGTTACGTGAAATTCAATGGGGTTCGTTCTCGTGGTTTCTTTCTTTCTTTTTTTTTTTTTTTTCCCCCTTCCCAACTTCAGTGGAGTTACACAAAAAAAAAGGAGTTTTAATTGCACTATGGGGCAAGATATGTATGTTGCAATTGCACTTGGGGCACCCTGCCTGGCCAGAAAGCAGATTTTGTATACATTGCCGGAACTGCAAATTCGAAAGACTGTCTGGGCCTACTCACACAGCGGTGGCAGTCTAGTAAAATCTGCTGAATGTTCTTTCACATGTTTGCTGAAATAATACCCCGCCCAGTCACACATGGGTTGCAAATCAGAAAGGACACGAGGGGGAGGGACTCTCTGGCAATTGCAAAATTGGTGCCTCTCATGGTCACAAAGAGCAGAAATTTTCTTTTAACAATTCCCGAAAGGCGAAAGAGAATTTACAACGGCCAAAAGAGAATTTGCCACCACCTCTCGAGGTGGTATCAAAATGCCCATCCCCGCGGCCCCCCAGGCCGTTGACAAATTCTACCCCGTTTGCAATTTTGGTGGTCGGAAAACCCTAGTGTCTCTAACAGCATAGCAGATTTTGCCCTATCTTGGCTCATAGTGCAATTATAACTCATTTTTGTGACTCCCAGGTAGTTTCCCCCCCTTTTTTTTTTTTTTTCTAACCCTTTGGTTGGACTATTGCTTATGCTCGGGAAACTTGAGTAATGAATTTCGGTATTCCGGACAGCGAATTGTTCGTGATTGGGGTAGGACCCGGTAGGTAGTCTGGCTTTTTTTTGTCCTGCATACTACAGGGCCGAGGTCCCACTAGCATTAAGGATAGGATCGACCTCCGGAATCTGGATGTGTTTTACCCAGAGATGCAGAAAAGCAGTTCAATCTCCATTTCCTGCACAGCTCCATAACCTCGTCCAGATTCAGGCATTCCATCCGATCCACATTGCTAGTGGGAGCACGCCCCAGCGGGTGTGTCTCTACCTCTTGGTTGAGGTTTGAGGTTGTGGACTCCCCTGCTGTTTTCTGCTGGATGATGATGTACAGCCTTGGGCACGGGGCCCGATTCGAAAGCTGCTGCTCTGATGATTGCGCACAAGTTTGCCAGCCACTGTTACGATAAGCATCTAACTTTGGAAAAAGCCAGTGATGGGAACCATTGGCCCTACCTTGGGTGTAGGATTTTTGTTGGAGCTGATCCTGTTCGGGTTTACTGTCAGGCTTTACACAAGAATCAGGAGTTTTTGCTTAATGGAGGAGGTTTGGTTTTCCAGAATCTTCAGGATTTTTGCTCTTTTACTAGCAAGCAGCAGAAGTTAGCTGTTATTTCATCCTTTTTACATAGAGCGTATGCGTTGGGCAACCTTCCGGCTGCGTAAGCGTCCTTTTTGTTTACGTTAAAAATGGAGTTAAGACTTCGTCGATAAAGCACTGACTAATTTCAATGTTCGAGTGGGCGGTGCTTGGACCAGGTGGGTCTCATGCTTCACCAACTGGACCTGTCCCAATCAGGATTGGGATTTGGTTTGATCCTCCAGGCATAATCGGTTGGCCTCCGATAGTTATTTCTTTGCTAGTGATACTGTTCCTCTGTCCGTTAGTTAGTGCACCTGGTTTGGACCCTGGCTGGACCATTTCCTGGTCTTTCCATTGGAACCGTATTTTTCTGAACTTGACCTCCTATGGGTAGCTCTTTGTTAGTGGTACTGTTCCTTTGTCCGTCAGTTAGTGTGTCTGGTTTAGACCCTGGCTGGACCAGTTCCTGGTCTTTCCATTGGGCCCTGTATTTTTCTGAACTTGTCTGCTCATATAAATAGCCGTGTTGGTCTTTTCCTTTCTTATCTTCCAGCGCCCACCCCTGATGACGGCCGGTGTCTGGCGGCCCGGCCGAAACACGTGTAGGGTATACTCCGCCAGTTGAGCTTCAGGAAACTACGCCCGGTGCTTAGGCGCTATGCGTCTCTTTTTCGTTGTGCTTCACGTTTAATTCTATTGATGCGCTCGGGGGTTTTCCTTTGTCTTGTCTTGTCTTGTCGTGTCTGCTGTCTTTCCCCTCTTTGCACTTGAGTGCTTGCACTTGTGCGATTGTATGTTGCTAACTTTATCTTATCATTGGGTACGAGCCGATTCACTGTCAGTCTAAGATTGGTGTAGGTGTTAGGTTCATGCAATATAACTTGCAAGTTAAGTCAAGTTCTCATGGCCTATTTTAATTAGGTGGAGTGTGGAGTTTTTCCACTTGGGATAGCCGTAGCTCGAGATTCCGGCAGGTAAAACCTGTAAGCGAAGCTGGCTGATGCTGTCAGTACTTCGGGTTGAATTGTGAGGTCCCCGGCCGCTGGTTTCAATTATGAATCATGGATAATTAATTTGGATTAAAAAAATATAAAAAAATCCAGATGCAACCATTTATTTCTTCCATTTCTGAGGATTTTGTTTTCTTTCTTTCTGTCTTTTCTTTCTTTCTTTCTTTCTTTTCTTTTCTTTTATTTTTATTTTTACTAGGCAATTCATTGTAGGATAGTACCAGTAGGAGGCCGGGGGTCTGGTCCCACCTAACGTTGTTGAGTTTAAAACTCAACAGTGTGACGCCATTTCGACATTAATAAATTCAAAACAAGAAATTAAAAAACTGAAAAAAACGCTAGAAACAGCTTTTCTCCTTATTTTTTATAAGGTAACTCGGAGAAATGAAACATGTCTCGAACAGTCGGAGTGAAAGTCTCCATGAAAAAGTGATACTCCCGGTGGTGAGGGGACAGGAGGTCACCATTTGTAAAATGGACAGGGACGACGTGGATGGCCAAATGCATTCATTGCCCAAAGAAGGAAACGAGTTTGATGCCAGACTGCCAAACACAGCTGTCAGGGTTCCTCCGTTTCAGGATGCAACGAGGTCTTAAAAAACAAAAAAAAGGAAAGGCACTGCCGTTGAGAAATGTACCATTGTACCCTACCCTCGGCACCGTAGTTTTCTCAATGGAAAATGGCTTCCCGCCCAAACCTAAAGGGCCAACGCATACTACAAAACGGATTTCA